CCTCTTTCTTTGTAGTACTCTTCCTGAGGTCAATGAGCCCAGGGTCACAGGCTTTTTAAAGTAATTCACGTAGTTTTCTTCGTTCTATAATTAAAAAATAATAAACAATAATAAACAATTTTTTTTCACCACGTTTAAATAATAATAGAATATTCACTTTTGAAATCTGTTCAACTCCTTAGAAAGACTATCATTTTGACCCAATATAGCCTGGGCCAAGGGTCTGGGCCAAGGGCCTGGGCCGAGGGCCCGGGCCAGGGGCCTGGGCCAGGGGCCTGGGCCGAGGGCCTGGGCCAAGGGCCTGGGCGTAGGGCATGGGCCAAGGGCCTGGGCGTAGGGCATGGACCAAGGGCCTGGGCCAAGGGTTGAAAATAAGAAAGAAATGAAGCGAAGGATCTTTTCCACATAACCATGATTCGCGTTCCAACGGAAATCAAACCACCTCTCTGCAAAATTTGCCCTTCTGAAGCAACAGTTTCATCAACACATCCTGTAAACAAAAAGTGTAACAAGTAAATTATAGTTTCATATTTCATGTTAAGTACTGTTTCATTTATTTATTATATTTCTCAGTATTCGTTTGTACGTTTTATAGTCTTTAGCCCGTGACGTTTCAAAATACCTTATCGGGAATAGGAAAAAGCTAAAGAGAAAGGAGAAAAGTGCAAGCGTCGTAAATCGAGAGTCTGGAAACGTTGCAATCGCTTTCTTTGACAGCTTGTCTTGTTTCTTTCTCTTCAGAAGAACGAGAAATACGGTGGTTTAAAAGGGCAAGATGGTTGTTTGTGTGAAAGAAATTCGATGGAAAACAAAAATGACTACGTCTCAGAAATCAGTAAATTTATTGTGGTGTGCTAAGCGAGAGGTACTTTCAGAACATTTTGTTTTGGTTACGATTCTCGATTCAATTCTTTAACGTCCTCTTTTAATAATTCTCAGAAATATTCATGATAGAAAAGGGAGGGTTTCAGTACGATCATTGGCTCTCATCACGAAATTTGTTTGCTGCAGTCAGAGTGCATCATTTCAAAACGAATATTGAGACTGCCCTTTTGTTTCTCGAAGAAGAATTAGGACTACAGATGTTGTGAAGAAATTAAGAATCATGCGATTTCCAGATAACTGAAGACGGATATTGCAGTCATCTGAAAATTAAAGAAAGCCACGTGTGGAAGTCTATGTCCCTAGAAATGAAAATCATTTTTGTAGCGAAAAAAAAGACAGGCTCTCAAGTACATTACTGAAAATGTAGATGTATCGGGAAATGACCTATTTGTTCGAAGCGTTCATAAATAATTTACAGTTGTTCATACAATAAACTCACCAAAATACATAAAACGCAAAATACCGTAAAGGCTCTAATAGAAGGCTGCCTGTACTTACCATTTGAGCTCAATTATATCAGTTACTCTAAAAGATACCAATATTTGTCAACTGATAAAATGTTTGGGATACTATGAAAAACCTTTTATCAGTTGACAGATTTTTGTTATTTCTTATAGAAACTGAGATAATTGACCTAGTATAGTGTGGCCTTCTATTAGAGTGTTTACGGTATGTTTTCATTGATATTGATGGTTTGCTTACTATTAGTTTCTTTTTATTCTATTCAGCTCAAAAAAAGTCAAAACCCCTTAACCAAAACATTGTTCTCCAACTTGTTCAAGTTTTCAGCTAATTTGTTTTTGACTATTCTGATTAGCACGAAAGAAAAAGTTCCCAGCAAAAAAAGGGCTTCAACATTTCTGAATATTAATATTCAACACACGAAAACAGTTCACCGATTTTACTAAAAATTCCAATTTCTTGTTTTCATATTTGATAAAGATCACTTCCCGATATGTTTTTGTACTGAACCACCAGACAAGACAATATGTACGGTTGCTGAAAATCAGTGATCAATCAATGATAAGCCCATGTTTTCTATTTTCAGGTCATCAGTTCAGACAGTTGATCAAAAACTGACTTGAACGGGAACAGGATCGAAATGAATCAAAATTCAGATCAGTCTCTATTGATGGAAAATTTAGAAATTCGGCATGTTTCTGGCTACGAAAAGTTATTTTTAACATTTTATTTACTCAAGATCAGCACTCAAAAAAAATAGTACCTGAACAAGTTTAATGTACACAGTTTTTTACTGGTGACTCGTTTGAGCTCTTACAGGCTACTACAAAAGCTCCTACCAACATTTCTGGAGATTATTCAACAAATAATACGGAAAAATTTGGATGAAAACCATCCGAAATTTACCGAAAAAGGTCAAAAATTTGCTTCAAATGACCTAAAAAGGTCGAAAAACAGCTGAAAGTTTGTCTGAAACAGGCGGACATCCGCTCTAAAATTCAATGATTCCAGATTTAAAAAAAACCCATTTTCATAAAACCCTACGCCATTTTAGCTTCATACCGGTAGATAATAATCTATAAAAATTTGTGCTTTATGTTTTTCACTTCAAATTTATCTTCTACAAATAACATCTTAACATAGAACTACGGCATTTTGCGGATCCATCTTAAACGTCACAAAAGTTAACTATTATTGGTCTCTAATTCTAGACGAATGCCTTTTTTATTTTCATATTTTCCTCTGTATTTTCTTGTTAGAAAGAGATCAAGAAAAGTGCAAAACGCCAACTGGAAACTGAGAAGAAGAAGAAGATATGTACTTGTCGTAAACAACAACTCGGAAAAATAAGGAATCACATGAGAAGAGGAGTACGGTATCTCCTCGAGTTGTTTTCTGTGGACTTGTCATATTCTGCAGAGTGTTGATTCATACTTTTTGAATTTTTTTCGGGTGTCTGTCTAAAACTATGGAAACAAAACTTTTTCATTTGAAAAAAGAAAAAACAAGAAAATGAAAGGCTGGGCATTGTTGTGAGAATTGGGTTGAGACGTTGTGGAAATGAAAATTGCAGTGAGAAGAAAAAAAGATTTAGGAATTTCAGATTTCTGGAAGTAGGAATTCGAGTGAAAATCAGGATACAGAAATAGACAAGGGAATTTAAAGCACAAAATAAGACAATTTTTCAGTCAGGTTTAGAATAAGAATTTCAATTACAAGTAAGCGCTCTTTCGAATCATCCAGAAGTACAATTCAAGTCAAAAGAGGAACAAAACGGGAAGAATCTGGGGAAAATGCACACGCAACAGGTGATCCTTGAGTTGAAATGGGTGAGAGAAAAGTAAAAACTTTGTATGGAGACATTTGATAATTTTAAGTGTTAGATGAGAATTATAAGTATCCGGGGAGCATTTGACCTATCCTTTTAAATAAAATCAAGATTAGATATATGTAGAAGTACAGAGAAGGCATTTGGGAAGAAAATGGATAGGGTGGGGAGCGAAAAAGGGCTAAACGTTCATCTATTCTGCAGCTATAAGCTCCTGGCGAACCGTCTCTTTGACCAAATCGTCCAGCGACAGGCCTTGTTGTTTCTGACGAAGAGCTTGTTTCTCCTCATCAGATTTATCGTTGAGTTGGAATGCTTCTATACACATACAGGCGACGGCTGCTTGGATTCCTTGGAGCATGACTAGTTGTGAACGAGGTTTCTGCTGAAAAAAGGATTGAGTTAGGAAAAATGTATGGGAAAATGAAAGTGTTCGGAGAATGTGCATAATTTTAAGTTCAATAAAATTGTTGTTTTTTTTGTGATTTCCAGAAAAACAAAACTTAATGATAGATACTTGACTTTCACACAACGGGTATCATTCAAAGAAGGGATATATTTTCGATTACAACTAGAAAAAAGGAAGAATCGAAAAACTACTAACTTGTGTACCTGATACTTTGGGTAGTGACGGAATGGCGAGTCTGGTCCGACCTCATCTGGAAGGTCTTCGTCTCGAATCAAACGACGGAGTGGTCCATTTGAGCTGACCTCTGGCTCCACAGTTTGTTTTGGTACATTATTGAGAACTGAAAATCACATATTGATTTTTTAATCTAGAAATTCTTCACACTTACGTTCTTGAGTTTTTCTTCGAATTTCTTCTTCCTCTTCTGGGGTCACTTGAATTGGGCGAACCTTGTTTGGATGCACATCACTGTCATCATCTTCGACCAAAGTGCGGAGCACTGAAGTTACTGTGGTGCTCGATGATGGGGAAGAGTTCGAAGAGCAAGTGATTGTACTAGTGGTGATTGGAAGAGCTGGCTCACACTTCCTAGTACGCTTGCGACGCTTCTCCTGATCCTTCACATGTTGCAATGTGGCAGCACTGGAAAATGCACGGGGACGACCATCAGCAGCAAGAGTTGCAGCCAAGGAGTTAGAGGTAGCGGCGTTCATCATGGCTTGTACATCTTTTTGTTGTTGATAAAGTGCAGAGTTGATAAGTCCCAAAGATTCAATTGTAGAGTTTGGGTTCAAATTCAAATATGGGAGAGTGGATAACAATGGAAATCCAGGGAATAGTCCCGGATAGGCTCCGAGAGAAAGCATCGAAAGTGCCGCCATATCATTAAGTGGAGGAAAGATGCAGGAAGATGAGTTGGATGCTGACAGATCGCTTCCAGAAGAAGATGATGGCTTGCTCTAAAAGAAAGAATATGAACAACTGAATAGTAAGAAAAGTTATTCTTACCGACGCTGGGTTGAGAGTCAAATCGTGTGGCAATGCAGCAATGAGAGCTTGGAGCTCAGCGCTTCCGAGTTGGGACGCCAATTGGTCCATTTCGTTTTAGTTAGAGGGATGGGGAAGTCTCTGAAAATTATAGACTGATCACAGTAATCGTTTGGAGAAAAGAAGAATAGAATGAAGAGAGAAAATAGAGAAAAAAGGATGGGGGTGAATCGAAATGACAAATTGTCGAAAACAAAAAGGACAGGCGAATCTGGAGACAAAGTGCATTCTATCGGGGGGACAGCGACGCACTGAAACTGGAGATGGAGACTCATCTTTGATAGAGTGTCAAGTGGGCGGAGCCTAGTAGGAGTTTCAGCAAAAAGATAAAACATTCAGAGATCAAGAGAGATAGAGATACATACTATATTTTATTCCATTTTCTTCGCTTTTCGTTTTTTTTTGTTGCTCGGTTTACTTATCGTTTGTCCATGGACACACATACACGCACACCCAGAACCAACTAGACATATTGAAAAACAACAAGTGCTTTAGAAAAAAGACGCAAAACCGACGAATTGGTTCCGAGAAGAAGAAGAAGATGGTGTTGAGAAGACGGTGTGTGCCCTTCATTTCGGTATATAATGATGATCGGATGGAGAATAGAAAAAAAAACTGGAATGATTGGAAGTGGGAGGTGGTGGGAAGAGGGAGGAAGGACGGTTGCCCTTTTAGAGAACCTCTTAAACTGATAAGCTAGTCTGGTAAAATTCTTAAAGGCCGAGGTTCAGTCTTAAGAGATCTAGTTGGAAAACAGATTTTGTTTCTAGTGGTCTTTTCCAGAGAAGACTTCTAGAGGGGGATCATAGTGATGAATGATTAATAAGATGCTATGGCAGAAAAATAATGATGAAGCGGAGGAGGATGAATCGAAGGAGGAGCCAATATAGTGCATCCTTTTCTCTGATAAGCCATTCAAAATTAAAGTGCAAAATGATAAGCTTCTCATCAGAGAAGAAGCGTCTGTACAAGAGACATTGTCGTGGCGGGAAAAACCGAAATGACTGACGTCCTCCTGGCATTTCTCGACACACAGAAGTAGACTCGAGACTCCGCCCAGTTTACGCTCTCGGGAAAAGATGGAGAAGAAGTGGGTGGAGCATTGAGGAGCATGCTCTCTCCGAAGAGTGCAAAAGAGGAGGCAAGGAAGATTATGGAATAGGCACGGAGCAGAATATGAAGTAGTGAAATTAATGATGTGTAACTAGAAACTCTTGCTAAAGTTTGTGGAGTACGAATTGAGAGCAAACTAGCTAGATATGCCCTCTCTATCTCTTTTTGCTCCGGGCGAGCTCATGATTTTAATGTGTTTCATGGTCCACTCTATCCTCTTCTTCAATTCAATTTCATAGAATTCATAGGACAAATCTATAATAGTCCAGATGCTCTTATTGTTATGTGCTTGTTAACCGTTCTATAACAGTACTGCTTAATTGTCACGTTCGCACAAATCTATCATCAAAACAAAAGAAGGAGGAACCAAAATTTGAATATATGATCAAGACCAGATCAGATTAGAAAAAAAAATATGTGTGAGAAGAAGATGAAGGGGATGAAAAAAAATAACAAGACATACAAAAAGTACAGGCAAGTCACGTCAGTCAATGTCACACGCAGGTGTTATGTTACATTAGGAAAGTGACTCATTATCAGAAAAAAGGAGCAGCAAAAAGCAATCTGACTAACAAATCATACAAATCATACAAAAAAGAGCAAATCAGGGGGGCAAAGAATATTATATTTTTTTAACAAAAAAATGAATGAGGAAGCAAAAATTGAGTAGTAGTATGAAAAAAGTACCGTTGAGTTAGTGTGTGAGAGAGAAAAAAGAGGTCGACCTTTCAGTCTGGTGGGGGCGCCCGCCTCGATGAAGGGAGGCCTCCTTTGGGCGCTGCGGCGAAGGAATAGTGCGAAATAACAAAAGGGCATGTAGAGTATGTTGGAGAGATAGACGACACACACATTTTTTTCTTTCTCCATTTTTCCCTCCACCCTCGACCCAGAAGAAGAAGAAAAAGAAGAAGAACCAGTTACACAAATTGATGTGCCCTATCTTCTTTTCTTACGTCTGGGAGCCAGAGGAGCTGGAGACGGAGGACCCTTGGGACAACAAGAAAGGAGTACGGTAGGTTTTGATGGCTAAAGAATTCTGACAACCTCATGACTAATTTGGTTGGAGAAGGATGACGTAGTTCTTCGGAGATTCTTGTTACTGCTACCCCACTTTCTCAAAAACAAAGATCCAACGTAAGAACTTTCCTGTTATCAGGAGTTCGTTCAAGGTCGGGGAGAAAAGAACGAAAAGTAATATTCAGGAATTTTTGAAATAGAACTTGTTGATCTCTGCTCTGAGCCTCGAGGTCACAACACATTGACATACTAAGAATAACCAATAGGCTTGGCAGAGGAGAGCTGGCTCAATTAACAAAAAATGATGGTACCTCTTGCTGTTTTCAGAATTCTAGTTTCTCAAAAAAAAATGAGACTACTAGCTATGTTTAGGGTATTTCATATTCAAATACATCTGAAGCCTAATCAGTTCTTCAACGGTCCTATAGTACTAGGCTAGAACATTTACAGTTAGAAGACTAGGTACTTCGAAAGCTTTGAACTTTTTGTAATTACTAACTAGTGGAATAACTAGATGAGATCATTAAATTGAGCATACAGGAAATCTACAGTAACCCTCAAAAGTGAAAAGAGACTTTGATGAGATGCCAGTAGTCAACTTACGCACACACCATCTACATTTCTTACTGAGTATCAATTCCCCCTGTACGCGAAGGAAAAGTGGGCGGGGCTTCGTGGCGCCCGAGGGGACCCCGCCCAATACGGTTTACACTGAGACGCAGGACAAGGTAGAGGGCGGGTGATGGCGGGAAAGTGCATGCAAACTTACCAAGGGTGCCCTCCTACTGCAAGCTTGTCGATCATCGGAATTCAAGTTTGTATGAGCAACAACCTTTTTTGAAACTTCGAAAACTGATGACGTGGCTTTCCAGATGAGGGTGTCCAAGAACCATACTTCCTGTTCGTGTTAGTCCCCTTCTTCCCTTACATCAAAGCGAGTGAATGAGAGCGGAGAGCCAGACAAAAACAAGAACTCTGCAATTTCAGAGAACACTGTGAGACAAACACATACACATAGAAAAAAGAAGGAAGCGGGTGGTCGAGCGCCTACGACGGCTTCTTGTTCTGCCTACTTGCAGCTGAGCAAGTGCAAAAATGGTGCGATTGCGAAAACAAGTTGCGCAGTGAGTCAGACGATTTGAACCTCAATCATTTTTAAAGATCTGCAAGAAGCTGACGAATGAGTTTTATGGGATTATCAGGGTGGCATGCAAATGGAAAAGATTTATCAAATTTACAAAGTGGTAGCTGATTCAAAACGCAAGTCTTGTCAATATACCGTAAAACCTGTAATAGAAGCCCCTCTAACTTTTTACTTTGATCCTGTGAATATTCCCGTGAAAGATATAAAAATTTGTCAACTGATGAATGATTTATCATAATATCACCAATACTTTATCAGTTGGCACATTTTTGATCTATCTTATAAGAGCCAGGATAATTGAGATCAAATTTGATAGTACTTCTATTGCAGGTTTTACGGTAGTTCAAGATGGAACTTTTCAAGTTCAAAGAATATATTTGTCAACCTGGACTGAACTTGGACTGCACTCTGACCAACCAGTTCATGAAATTTCGAAAATAATTTGAATAGGATGTAATATTTCTTATACTCTGTCCGACTCAACCCAGCACTGAAAAACAGGAGCTGCCAATTCGGTCAGAAAAAACTTGAAAAGTCTCAAACCGAAAAGTCGCCCAGGCAAGAGAAAATGAAGGCAAAGAGAAGAGAAAACAGGTAAATAAAAGTATAAGTAAATATTATGTGAGCGAGTTTGAGTGGTGGTGACCAACCGACGACAACCGATCGCAAAAAAAAGAAACTTGCACTTTTATTTCTGTACAGTGTCTCTTCTTCCTGTGTTGATTTGTTTTTCAGTTCTTCTTGCAGGTTTGGACAGGATACCGTAGTTCCCACCTGACTCAATCCCTCCTTTTCCTCCAGAAATTTGACACCGTCATGGCACTGTCGGCTACGGATCACACACACACCCAATGAAACAGTGTTGTAATCCGTAATCTTTGGAGTTTCTGTGAAAAGTGCAATCCTTTCTTCTTCTTTCACTACTACACCTCATCTATCTCTTCTGACGGTCAGTCGGTCTGTCAGACAGGCAGAAAAAAAAGACATCGGAGGAGAGGAGGAGGGAGACAGGTCGTTCGATGGTGTGTGGCGACAAAAAACTGGCAGAACATCTTCGAAAGTGCAAGTGTACCCTCTCGGATTGAGAAGGACTTTTCGCATGATCGCTCCACCGCGAAACTTTTCTCTATCAAATCTTTTTGAAGAAAGAAGATAAATGAGATGCTCTTCCTCAACTCATGCACTTTGGAGCGCCAGAGGAAGTGGGAAATGGGGAGAAAAAACAAGGATCAAATGAATCTACGACTCCAGACCAAAAAAAGGAAATATTGTTGTCCCGGTGCCAAGACTTGAAAAATATATACTGAGGCAACCAAAACGAAATTCTGAGAACAAATGGGTCTGGAATACTACGAACGGATATAATTTTTCCCCGTTTTAAAATTCGTTCTAGTGGTGGGAGACACTCGGGTATTTATATTTTTTTAGAATGTTGGATGTTCTTAAAATAGAGGAAGGGAATTTTCAGGCTCTTTAAGACTGAATACCCAGAAACTTGTAATAAAAGGACCCCTGACCTATAACTTTGAGTGAATTCGTCGGTTCCTGTCAAAGATATAAAAAAGTTGTCAGCTGGTAAATTGTTTAAAATAATAACACCAACATTATATCAGTTTTCATACCTCTTCTACGAACCGAGAAATTGTGATCAAGCTTGACAGTGTGGGGGCCCTTCTATTACAGGTTTTACGGTATTTGTTATGGTGTCTTTTAAGCATGAGTTGTAAAAGAATCTCTGTAGGCTGAGAGCACAGATGAGACCAGTCTAATGAGATCA